AATAATTCCCCATGCACCACCAATTAGACCCAATGAACTCAAAACCTATATTTTATTTTTAAAAAAATCTTTAATAGTCATTTATATTATAAGATTAACTATTACATTCTTTGCTAGATTTCATTTCTAATTGTTGAATTTTTTCTAAATATTCTGCATCTACTAAATAATCACCCAACAATAGCTGTAGCAAATTAAGTTTTTGTCTCAATTCTTGAATTGACATTTCATTGTCTGAATTATTAGGAATTAATTCAGAAAAAGTTATTAGATTTGTTTGCATAGCTTTATTGTGTCTTTGAACGAAACCCCAAGGATTAATAGTGTTATTTCCTAAAATATGAAAATTGATGTATGTATAAATTAAATATTCGACCTTTAATTTAGTTCAAAATTATAAAAAAAAATTACCAAAGAGTAATACGAGAAGGCTTATTGCAAGTCCAAATGCACCACCCAATAATCCAAGTGAATTCAAAACCTATATAAAGGGAATGTTTTATGATAATAATTTACCATTGTATGATATGTTTTAATGAAAAACCTAATACTTACGGTTTTAAGCCTTAAAATATTGTAAACGATAAATTTTATTTTTCCTGTAAAATAAGGAAAATAAAAACTAAAATATAAATATAGTTACCTTTTATCTGTCTGAACTTGAACAATAAATGATTGTGGTTCAAAATTTAATTCAATAAGTGAATTTTGAATTGCTGACGAATTTGTTATAGGAACTGATTCTAAATTATACGACTTAAATGTTAGCGCTCTATTGCGTATAATTTGTAATTAATTTTAGTTTATAATACCTCGCGTAGAAGTAATATATGGTAGTTTTACAAGATTTGGTACAAGTCCTAAGTCATTTTGAAAATTGTTTCGAATAATTTCTTTAATGTTTCTCGTGATTCGAATCCTGTAAGTCTGTTGAATAGAATAAAATTAGAGGTTAAAATTTGGAATTTATTCATATTCTTTTTATAAATCTATTTAATTAAATTAAAAAATCCCTTATTAGGTAATAGCTCATATGTATTTGTTCCAATAATCGAATTTATAAACGCCGAGTATTTGCTTTCATGAAAGATTGGATCATTAAACCTATTAAATTCTGTATTATGATACAAAAATAATTAGCTTTGTAATGTAGCTATAGCCCGGAAGACTTTAAATTTTCATTATATAATCTAAATCAAAAATCCCAAAATTATCATCGATGTAAGATATTGGTGTTTCAGAAGCAAAGTTTGCACATTTGATTTGACTTGCTCAAAGACCCGAAACGAGTCAGGATAAATTAATCGCACCTAGTTATGGATTAAGAAAATTAATAAATAATACAGTATTTCGATGTATTAATAACTGTATACTTACATAATAAATTAGGCATAGTATCGGAATGAATTTGAAAGCTTGGAGTTTTGATTACAGCAAATTAAGAAGGAAATGTTTTCCAACTACGACTATTTTATTTATAATTATAAACGATACTGACCCGGATCAAGTACACTTAAATTCATTGCCGAGTTACTAGTAAAGTCGCCAGAAATCATAATTCCGAAGGAGCTTAATCCTCGATTGGAATTTTTTGTCGAGAATATTACATTTTCCGCGACTTGGAAACCTCCAATATATCCTGAAGAAATGCCTACGATTGGTTGTGTTATGTATTGCATACACTCTTTATTGTATTCACTAATGCCACTATCTGATTTTAATTAAAGAAATTAAAAACTTAATGATCAAATTATACAGAAAATAAATAATACTCCAATACTTGCCAGCATATGTGAAATAACAATTAATCTGAGAATTCTTTGGAATGTTTGAAAACTTAAGCACTATTGTTATTGTATATAAACTATTCAAGTTTAATTTCATGCTATATTCATTTTATTAATGATAAATTATTATACTTCACCTGGAACTGGGAGAGAATTTGTCTCCACTACCGAATCCACAATAACAGGTTGATCATTGTAAATTTCTAAAATCAAAAACACAGTGTATAAAACTAAAATGACTGAAATCAATAACTTTACGACAAATTGAAATACAAAGACAGATTTTGGTTCAGTTGTTCGATTATTTTTAAATATTCCTTCAAGCATTTTTTTTTTTTTTTTTACTAGATATGAGTCAGTTTTTTTGAAATTAAGAAAGAAATGCCAAAAAAAAAAAAATCATGATAGTGAAAGTAAAAGTAACTGTTACACGCGACTATTTATTCACTTACATTAATCTTGTATAGTTCGTAGAAATAGACTAGCGCTAGAAATTCTGTATATATGTGCGTCTTATAGAAACAAATTACTTATTAACCCTAATAAGAAACGCCACATGCACATGGTTAGTGTTGAATGCATGTCGGAAATCGTATTTTCCGAGAATATCAAACATATTATATACAATAATTTATTATTAAAATTATTAATAATATAAAAAAGTTACGGAAAGTTACTAACGCTGATTAAATATAATGTGTGTAACTGGATTTTGTATGCAAGTTATGCAAGTGCAATTTCACACATATAAGCTTAGAGATATTTCATTATTATTATTCCTTTTATATGTCATACATAAAGTTGTCCTACCTAGTTACTATTCCACGCACGTACGTACGTACGGGCGTACGGGCGTATGTACACACGTATAATTGCCACTTAAATTTTTTCGATTTGAACAGCTGTTCTACTTTGTTTAATGTATAAAATTGCATTGAAGTAAACAAGAATTAAAAGGAGAACTCCTACTGCAAAAAGAAAAAAAAACAAAAAAAAATAATTTAATTGGTAATTTAGGACAGAAATTCTAGAATTCTTGCAATGTGGAGTTAAAAGGCGAAAATTTAATTGACATAGATGACATGCATATTTGTTTTCAAATGGATGCGTCAATTTATTTCGTTTTTCGACAGAATTGAATTCATGATCTTTGTTATTGAAAAATTACTAATTTCATGAAATGGGGGCTCCAAACACTCTAATTTCATTTTTGGTGTTACAACAAATAAGATCCTATTTATTTCCATAATGCGCTTGTTTTAATTCCGAATTCGCTCAATATAACTTTCGTGCATAAACCTCGGGTCACGTTCAATGTGGCGCATCTTCGATACCATTTTGATGCATAAATTAAATAAATTATTCTCCTTACATAAGCATATTTTGTTAAATAAGAACACAATATAGATTTAAGCAAATACTTTGAAGTTTCTGAAATTACTTCGCTAGTGTCCTTCTTTTAATAATATTTAAATTTAATTTTACACATAATAATTATACTGATAAAGCTTTATAAGTTAAATGAAAGTTGAAATAAGTTTGAAATAGTACAACTCCAGACACGATATACATACGTATATATCTGTGTGTCTTTGAAAAAAATTAATATTTTCCTCAAAAAATACTCGAAATTTATACTTTAATAATGATTTTAGGAGATTTATTCCAAAAAAATCGCAAGACTGAGCCTGTATCCATTTATTGGTCACGACTCTTCGTGATAATATTACTTTTGGCTATTTTAATTGGATATATTTTACTAGTAATTTTAGATATTTACAATGACCAGCCCATAATCAAAAACTCTTTTATTGAAGAAACTTCTTTTCTTGTTCCAGGTGATAATTAAATTAACTTTGTTTATTATTTACTCGCATATTTAATTATGTAAATTTAGTTAATGAATAATTTATTTCGATATATGAAATGAATATCAGTGGCTACAATTGGTTTTATTAATCAAGCACGCCTTAGTTGTTTTTTCGAATATGCTGGTAAGCATTAAAAGATTCAATCACACCATATATTTATGACGCCTGTCTCATTAGTTCCTTTACCAATTTCTAATTTAGATAATGGCACTTATGAATATGATAAGGATTGCTTGCAATATATTAAACAGCCAGATAAACCAGATGGTGACCAGTTTTATAAAGCAGCCTTTTATAATAATTCATTTGAAAATAAATTGATGTTTTCTACAAAGTCAAATGGTGGATTAAGATCTTTAGGATTTATGATTTATTCAGACAATATTAAGGATAATGCCAGTATTATAATGTCTGTTAACCTAATAAATAAAGGTGCATTTTCTCTAGTAATATTTTTTTATTTTATTCTAGTAAATGACATGTATCAAAATCCTGCAATAGCGCTTATATTTTGATATCATCTGTAACACTATAACTTTATGAATTATACGGTTAAGAATTTAACAACCAAATTATTATTTACTCAATGAGTATTGAAGATGATTTCAAAAAATTTTTATATTATTACATGTCTCTTACAATAATCTTAAAATTCTCAACAAACAAGCATATTACTATTATTGATTTCAAATTTCTTTTTGCATAGAATTACATACGAGCCATAATTTATTTATAGGAGTATATGAAATGATTCCTAACTCAACTGTAAGTTTAAATGAATACGCTTTTGATAGTCGAAATGTGAGTATATTTACTATAATCGTGTTAATTTTTTATTTAAAAGAATTCAAATAAAAAAATTCTTGATATGAATTATTATTTATATATTAGACCTACAGGATCAAAATTAAAAGAAGAGTCAAAGAAATTATGATGCCAAGTTGGAAAAATTATTTAGGATTTCCTGTGCTTGAAAAATTATACTATATAACATCAACATCGGGTATTTAATGTTATAACATTTTGTAAACTATTACTAATTTGTCAAAATTTAATCAATCTATTTTATTACTTGTTCAAGAAACACTTCCTAATTTAAATTTTACTGGATTTTCAACACCGCTTGCAACAATAATTATTGAGCCAGAATCATTCATAACTCAAGTTGAATCTGATCAAAGGTATTTTACAAAATTATGTATTTTTATATATAAATATGCTATTAACTTTTTTTAACACTAATTTATATTTAAAATTTTATTCTAAGAACTAAAACCGTTAGTATTTTAAATTAGCATTTATTTTATTGTGATGTCTATTAAAGATTTTTTTAAAAATAAAATATAGGTTTTGAGTTCATTGGGTCTAATTGGTGGTGCATGGGGAATTATT